AAATTTTGGCTTTATTGAATTGCATGAAGAACAAGATGACGTCATTTTTTGGATCTATTAAACTGAAAAAGTTATTATGCGTTATTGCCCAGTGAATCATTCGAGTCACACCAGGATGACACAAATCACAACGCTGATAATATAGTTTGTTAGCTTTAATCGAGCCTCATATTCTTGAGAAGGCGTCTGTAACAAGATTGCCTTTTCCCGGTCGGTATATTATATCATAATTGTAGCATAATAACTCAAGACGCCATCTTTGTATCTTCTCGTTTTTAATTTTATTCTGATGTTTTGAATCGAACATAAAGAACACAGAGCGCTGGTCAGTGATTATTGTAAAATATCGTCCTAATAGGAAGTGTCTGCATTTTATTTAATGAGCAAACGATAGCATAGGCCTCTTTCTCAACAGCTGAATGTCGCCGTTTGCTATCGTTGAGTTTTGAGAGAAAAATCCGGGTGCCCGGATTGGGAAAGCACTACTGAGATTGAGAAGTCTGAGAAGTCCATTTTGATAAAAAATGGTTCTTTATTGTCGATGGCACCCATCATGAACTTTAAAACAACCTCAGGTGTTAAAGGAAAAAATCTATAAATTAGCAAATTTTGAACTTTAACTGAATAAATTGGAACCCATCTCGAATAGTGAGCGAATACTCCAATCGTCCTTTGAATTATTTGGAAGAGGCAGGTTAAGGACCGTTTTCAAACGACCTAGTTCAGGCCCAATAGTCTTATTCTCTATCCTATAGCAAAGAAGACTTATAGAAGTTTGGGAAAATTTGACTTTTTTCATGGCTTATGGTGAATCCGTATTTTCTGACTGCATCCATAAATCGTTTAAATTATTATGGCGTTCTTCTTTGTTTGCTCCACAAACTGTTACATCATCGAGATACGTGTACGTCTTTTCGAGTCATGACTCTTTGGAAACAAGGAACCTCGTCTTTCAAGCCAAAAGCTAGTCGCCGAAATTGATATAGACGGCCACAGGCATCGAAGGTAGTAAAGGACGATCTTGCCCCCTGAGAGGAATCTGGTGGTATGCACTCTTGAAATTAATGTTCTAAACTAAGGATTTTTAGATATTCTAGCCACAGTTTGCTCAATATCCGGTAGAGGGTATGCATCTAAGAGTGTATATCGATGAATAATCGAACACCTTTGTCTTTTATGATTTCCCTTTTTAACTACAAATGATTGTGCTCTCCATGGCGACCTACTTCCTTCAATTATTTTGTCCGCCAGAAATTTTTCAATCTCCTCTTCATAAAATCGTAGTCTTTCTTCGAATGTTTGCGGGGTTTGAAGGTAATTATTTTAATGTCTCCAGTAAGATATTCAAACATTGGTGGGGGCTCAATCTTCGTCGGCGCTAAGAAATAGATGATCAGGGGCGTTTTAGAGCCACCGAAGGAAAATATAAGTTCTGAATGCAAACTGAGTAAGTCATGACCCTCTATGAAATTAGCTCATAAGTCAGTGAGAATATTTTGTTTTTGTATAACAATGGCATTGGAATTCTAATTTTACTGAACAATAACTGGAAATTTGTGAATTTAAAGAGGTAGAAGCTCTGCAAACTGAGCCAGTAGTAGGATCGGCAGCTCTGAGTAAACTGCTTAGATATGAAATACTCGGAACTTTCTGAATCGATTAAAGCATGAGTAGGGACGTTGTTCACCTGAATGAGGACTGTGGCTCTGTGAAGGTTTGACGAGGATGCTGCGATTAGGGCTGCTGACTTGGTTAACGTTTTTGATCTGCAAACAGAAGCCTAATGGCCGATTTCGGAACACTTGTTACATTTAGAATCGATTGTAAGACAATTCTGACGAGATTTGTTTCTCGATAAGCCACAAAAATAACATTTAATGTTTCCACGAGTGGCGGCTAAGCTGGTTGACTCCCTAGATGAAGCTTCATCTTGTGCGACAGAAGTAGTAGCATTAAGATTTACTTCTGGGAACGAATAGGATGCTGACTGGTTTTTAGCGGTCTCTAAAGCGAGAGCTTTCTCGACCGTTTCATCTAAATTCAATGTATTCAACTCTATACAGTCAGACGCGAATATGATTGGAATTTATACCTCGAATAAAAGAATCTCTGACATAAGTTTTTCTATGTGTTTCAGTATCGACAGCTATGAATTCGCAATTTTGCTGAGTAATTCTAAAGCCAGATAGAATTGAGTTACTGATTCCTCTGGCCCTTGTTTCCGAGACGCAAGTTTATGCCTAGCAAATATTTCATTAGTGGATTTTACATAAATTGCATTTAATAAGTCTATTGTTACTTTGAAAGTTTTGGCCTCGGAAATCATTTGAAACACTCCTGCTGAAACATGATTGATTAGAAGTTTTAGCTTACCTTTGTCTTTAATGGTTTCAAAAGAATCTGAAAAGTTTTCGAACGTTTTAAACCAATATTTCCAATCTTGAGTGGCCGTTGGGGAGTTAGGATCAACATAAAATTTGTCTGGCTTCAAGAATCGATCCATTGTTAAAAGCAATTAAAATGAATAAATTGTAATAAAAACCTTTCGAATTAATGTAAGGCTTTATTCATTTTAATTTTGCATACTACATAATACTCATAAGAGTCTGGAACAATAGATGACATTTATATAACTAAATAGGTTATGTATGGGTTATAACACATGGTACTACATTATTACAACTAATCCAAAAGCAAGGCAATTACAAAGGTAAAGCACTCATTGCGGTTGCCAGTACCATGAAAATATATTTGGCAAACACCAAGCAGAATGCGAGAGAGAGGGGTGCACAAATAGGTGTTTGAAAAACGATATGAAAAGCTGAGGATACGCACGCCTCAACAGTCCCTGTTAAAGCTGCTTCTGCACAGATTGTTTGGAGAGATAGTGTCCTTGGAAAATCAAATGGACACAGCCCATCGTCACAATCACATCGTAAGCTGCATCAAATAAGGGAGAAGGTTTCTTTTTATTTACTTGTATGGGATATGAACAGCCAAACTTGGTGTGAGAGGAGGATCACTGTTCACAAACATACGATTGAAATTGTAATTCAAAATGTATTTAACAAATATTTACATCGAATGTATACAAAAATTGTTAATGGAGTGAATGAAGTTTGCGAAAATTGAAAATGTTAAGCTAATTTTTATGTTTATATCTTCAATCACCTGTATTATATGAGAGTTAGTGAAGTAAACATTTATTCAATTTAATATTTTGAAGGAGGAGGATAAATGTATATAGGAATGACGATAAATAATAATAATAGATAGAAACCTAATTTTGATATCATGTGAATCTAATATCATAAGCGAATTAATTAAATAAGTGAGCTATGGTGACCTATTTATTTATTTATGTATTCCACCCTCACATGCCACTATGGCAATACGGGTGTTTGCGATAGTGTGTTACTAGGCATGAATGCTTAATAACACACTACTACTAGTTAACATGTTGTGCACGATGTGCAGTTCTTCTGTTCTTTCTTCTTCTTGTTTCGGCCTAGCTCTGGAGGTCTTCCTGGCGCTTGTCCTCTTCTTCTGCGGGCACCAATATGGAAGTAAGCGGGCCCCACCACCGTCTTCCATCCATATATGAATTCCTTAAACCGCGGGAAAGTGTTCTATTACGTTCTCAAGTGATTGCAGTTAATTTTCGTGTTGTTTTTGTTGTTATTTTCGTTCTTGCTGTTGTTTTTTCGTTATCAGACATGATATAAGAATAAGAGCTAAGGTGACCTGAGCCATTTATTGCGTTCGATCTTCTTCCTGGTAAACAAGCGAATAGCAAAACATATGTCACTTATATTACCTTTCAAAACTCTCTTCTACTCAGTTGAAGCCAAAGGCTGACCTCTCATAAACGGTTGATTTACTCGTTAATATCGTAAATTTTGAATAAGTTATTTGGGACGTTGAGGCCCGAAATTCTCACTATGTCGGAGCCGGAATCGTCCGCGAGTTCTGAGTGTTTTATATGTGGTGTGAATTTATATGAGGGAAAAATAGTGCTGGTTGAATAAAAGAGAGTTAATGCTGTATAGTGATGGTCTGCAAAATAGGGATAATGAACATTTACTGAAGAGGTTTGACTGAGATTTCTGTACATATAGTATGCCATAAGCGTTACAACAATTCTAAATTGATCAAATCAGCTGTTAAACTTGGAGACATTAATGTGGCAAGAACAACAAGGGCTTCCTCCGAGAAATTTAATGTTAGAGAACAGTGTTACATATATGGAAAAGTCATGACAAAACAGTTCATTGAAGCACATAAGTGCCAAAGAAGCACAGAACCGCCACGTTGAGGTTTTTCATGCTCTAGAAGGTGCTGTCACGCTAATCATCACTACTGCTATCAGGAAGGCCTCTCATGTTCAAGACGTGGATATTGCAAGAAGGGGCGGAGATTTGTTGGGCATTCTCACCGGTCACAGGGGTCACACAGAGGGTACCATATTCTTTCAGAAGTGTGCAAGATGCAAAACGCCAGTATCTTCTACTTAACGGTATCAAAATATGCAGACAGTCAGCTCATCTCTTTCACTCATGCCTTCTGCGGCTGTGATTCCATCTCGTACTTCTTCAGCCTGCTACTACTGCTTTCTCGTAATTTAATGAGAAATGAGAATTTTCGTCGATAAAAATTTGTAGATTACGGTATGATGAAGGCATTAACAAAGTTTTAGGCGGATGTTAATAATTTGATAAAGGAGGTCTGTACCACGCGCTATATGGGGGGGGGGGCAGAAAGTGCCTTTCTCCCTTCCAGTGCTGGCACCGATAGTTTATTTAATTCCTTACTAGAGTATTCATTAATTTGTTTGACGATTATAATGCTAACTTGATACAAAAATAAGCAGAAAAGTCTATATTTCAGAGAAAGCTAAAATATTTTTATGTGACCTAATACTTTTGGACCAAGGCTGTGATTTCCATATAGTCAATTGTTATTTTACAAAATAAAACAATTATATTGTAATTAATAATAAAATTTTCTATGTATTCTATGTTTAGATCTAAAAAAAAACAACAACGTTGAAATAAAACTATTTACAGTATTTAAACTCATAAAGTGTATTTCTAGTTCTCCTGTATTGATCTGGACACTTTGGATCGGGTATACTCAAGACACTGTTTATAACCTGTCCATAAGTGTCAAATTCAAAAGTGACAAACAAACGAATGGGTTCCATAAGGCTCAGAGAAACAGATGAAGATATAGCAGATCTTTTATCCATGCAATGGATGGAATATGCTCATATTTATTTGATAAATATTACTCCTCCATACCGCAGTTTGATATTAACGGTAATGACCTTTTACTTAATTTTAGTGGTTTAATGCTCTTATATTACTAAACAAACCCTTGAGGATTCCATTTTAGGTTGCCCAGAAATTTGTTCTTGATTTTTCAGTAAAAACATTTTATTGGTAATATTGTAAAAGATTAACAATTAATAAACTATGTAACAAAGCTGAATTATATCCTTAACGATATGATTCTTCTTGATTAATGGTGTTTTTTCAACAAATTGTCTAAGTAAACTAAACTTAATAGGTAATATATTTTTATGTTAAAATCTTATATAATTGGTAACACATTATGTTTAAAAGTTTTATACCTGGAATGAACGTATATTACCTAATTGACTATAATTAAGAATAGCCCTTAAATCTGCAGTATTGTCATGTCCTTGATGACCGAGGGTTAAGATCACATAACCACACTGTATCTGAAATTTCGAAGCTATTCATGTGCGTCTGTTCTTTGTCCAGTAAGGTTAAAGTTACAACTAAAACAATGGTACTAGTTTAAAGGTACCATGTAAACATTTTGAATCACCTAACCCAATGTAAACAGTTTTAAATAGATAAATCAATACAAATGAAATCTAATTTAACCTAACATTAACAATGGTTCATTGTTCTCTTATACTTTGCTGTTCTAATCATGGCTAGCATTGAGTAGTAGCTTAGTTCAATAAATGCTACCCAAATGCTTTTTTCTCCCCTTAAGACTTGTCATAGCAAGTCTCATTTTACCAATATACTACTAAATTGTCTTTACAAGATGATTTAAAACTGGATATGAACTGCTGAATAATATTTTGAGTGTGACTTAATAGTTATAGAACTTGAATGACTTAATAGTTAAAAATTGCAATAACCTGATAGTTTTATGAAATTCAAAATGAGAATAAAAGGTGACGCTCAATACATAAGCTCTTTTATATTGTTTAAAATGTTTACTAAACTATGAGGATTTTCTTTATTTATTAATTGAAGAAAATTACACCATCATCTATAGCCTGATCTCCAAACTTATTTTTCTTTTATACTTGAAGGGAATGTGTTTTGGATCCTTCAATGATCTCTGTTAGCTAGACCCATTACGTGTAGAAATTTTCCAATGATTTATTATTCTAAGCCTGGTGAGCTTCAATAATCTAGGGCGGTCGAGATCTAATTATGAATCATAAACCATGGAGCTATCTAGTGCTATCCTCTGTTGAACTGCTTGATTGATGGTCCTTACCTTTCAAGGCATATTCCCAGTCATAAAAATGTTTCCAATCTTTCATTATTTTTCTCCTTCACTACTCATATCAAATCCGGCAATGAAACCTTAAAATTTATGTGATGCAGCTGGTTAAAATTCACAGTTTTGTCTGCTATTTCATTTCTGGTATTCCTACGTGTCTCAGTAGCCATTTGAAATGTAATTGTTGCTAGCTTTGTATATCATTAATATGATTTTAAAAGAAATGTGTGTTAGTGATTTATTTTGATATATTAATTTCAAGTGTTTATTTTGGATTGATGTATTCCTTTTTGCTGTATATTATGGCATTAAGAATAGCATGTAGTTCCGTGCTGAAGATGCTGAATTTAAGTGGTATGTGGTATTGATATGGAAAATTTCTGATTCTTTCGGTAGTCAAATACAGCTATAGAAGTTTCTTTTATTTTTTATATTTATATTATATCATATTATATATATATATATATATATATATATATATATATATATATATATATATATATATATTATATTATATTATATAAAATATATACTAATTTTATGTATCAGTATTGATTTGTTGGTAATTAGGGTATCGTTCTATGATTGTGATAATTGCTGGTTATTTCTTCTTTTAATTTAATCTTTTAATTTAACCTTTCTTTTTCTAGTAAAAGGAGTATTGATACACTTGTTAGGGTTAATTTTTAGGATTAATAGGGCTCCACCAGCAAACATCATTTACAGATATATCATTTATAAAATCATGCAAACTTATCATTGAGTTCCGATTAGATTTTGAAGTAGTAGCAGCAACATCAAATACAGATGTGGAAGAAGAAGAAAAAAAGTCAATTTTTATTCTGGGACTGAGTCCCCTTAGAATAACTGCAATGTACAATTTAATGACAATTGTCTGACATTAGAAATAATTAGGAATAAATTAAATTACAAAATTATCTAGATCTAAAATTAAAATAAAGAAATGGTACTGGTAGACATATCAAATTATAAATAAATTCAGATGTGCAAGTTCATATATTTGTACATAAACAATGTGGATGGTATATAATTATCTGTAGGATAACATTAAGTGCGACTGACAGGTCTGAAAAACGTGAACATTATTTTAAACATATTCGGAAGATTGATTGCTGAGGAGAAGGATAAATAAATGAGTCCAAGGATGAGAGAGGATTTGCGTATGGAGGTTGGTAGGAAATTCAAAAACAAGGTAGCACGTATGACAAAGGAGTTTTTAAAACAGTTCTATGAGAAGGAATTAAACAGGTTTGAGGGCTGGGATCTCGTGTTGAACGAATGGACAGAGTAACAAGGAGTAAACAAATCGAGAAGATAAGAGGGTTATTTGGTTGAAAAGGTTCGAAAAAGGAATACCCCTAGAAAATATTGCCGACAAAAGACTGGATAGAGCCATTTTAACTCGGCATAGCAACTGGAGACGTGGGAGCGCCCGGAGACTCCAAAAATAAATGTAATGAAACAATTCACTGGTATCTTTAACCTGTTCTCAATTCCACCAGACAGTCCACCATATACAAGGCAGCCATAATCGAAATGAGAGAAAATGAGTGAGGAAACTAGGAGCAGATGGATTTTAAGGGGCATGGAATCACGGAATCTTAGGAACTGTTTGATGGTAGCAATGGGTTTTCGGATTATTTGGGAAAGATGATTATTCCAGGACAGATATTGATAAAAAATTACCCCAAGGTTTTTAAGTGTGGAAATGGATAGGTAGTCCATTGAGGTAGAGTAGGGGATAATAAGAAATGGAATTATCAGATGTTTGGAACCTGTTAACGCCACAGCGTTAATTTATTTATTTTTACAGTTAAAAACGCCACAGCGTTAATTCAATTTATTTTACACTTGACTAGTTTGATTAATTGTTGATTTGTTTTATTTTAGCAAAGTGAAATCAAATAATAATATGTATATTTATGTATAAGATATGTGTATATTAAGTATTATAGACCCATAGCTTATATTGTTTATATTAAATAAATCAATAGTTTATACTTGGACTACTTTGTTATGGATTGTAGTAGCACTAGCTATAAACAAGTGCTAGGTTCAAGTCATAAGGCGGTAGAATGGACAATAGACGGTCTGACTCCGCCCGTCACTGAGCTGAGTACTGCCAACTTCAACACTGCCCACTCCAGTTCTACTCTGAAGAGACGTACTTCTCTCGTCGTGCTCGCCGCTGCCCATTTGCAGTTCGTTTTGAGCACGCTCATTGAAGAGTTACAATTGGTTTCTGCATAGAGACAGAGGTTTACAAACGTCCTGCTTCGTCCACGTAACGTTGTACAATCTAATTATTTGTTATATATATATATATATGTGTGTAAATTTCATATTGGGACTTTAGAGAAGTTGTTTTTTATTTATTTTATTTTTATTATAATTTGGGCCATAGAAATAGTTTTTATTTATGATCAAGCATGAAAATATTTCATTAATATTGTCACAATTGTTTGTTCGGCTGGTCTTTATTTTATGGTAGAAGTTTGTTATTTTTTTACCTATCTAACAAGTGTAAAATTGATTCATTTTGTTTTTATGTTTTCAATATTAGATTTCGTAAATGTTCCAAAATAAATGTTTGAAGATACAGTCCACTTTTTTTCTTTTTCTTTTTTCTTTTATTAAATCATAATTAAATTGTTCATTCGAATTTTGACCTAAACTAAGAGGGAGCTAACATAATTTGGTCCAGTCGGGGCCGGATTTAAACATTTATTTTGAAATATTAAATTTGAGTGATATTTATATTTTTTCTACTATAGGTTTGGTAAAAGGTAAGCAATGGGGCCCAAAATAGATAAAGATAAAATTCATCTGGCTGACCTTGAAGATGAATTAGGAGAATTAGCCAAAGATATAACAGAAACAAGAGATATCGGTATCGATTGTTTAAAAAATTAGACGGCATATATGATAAATTTCAAGGTTTAATTAGGGAGGCCAAATCATTAGCGAAAATTCTTGAAGACGCATCGATCTCAAGAATCGATGAATTAAGAATTGAAACTAGAAATATTTATTACGAGGCAATATCTCTTGGGGTTGCGCGGGGGAACCTGCTTCTACTAACACAACAGCGATAAGTGACAGTAGATATATGGAGTTCGAGTCCCGTATTAAATTACCGACAATAAATTTACCCACCTTTGACAGTCAAATTTCTAAATAGGCATCATTCAAAGATACATTTACATCATTAATTCACAATAATAACCAGTTAACCGAAATTAAAAAAATTCACTACCTCAACTCGGCTTTAAAGGGTTCAGCGCTTCAGTCTATTGCGGCCATTTTGACCACTTCAGAAGGTTATCAACAAGCCTGGGCTACAAAAATACGATAATAAAAGAATCCACGCCACAAACTATCTGACCAATGTGTTTAATAATTTTAAACTGATTGCTAAATTTGATTTTCGCTCATTGGAGCATTTTGCAGAGGTCGTGTTAGAAAGTGCGACGGCCTTCCGAAATATGAATCTTAAGGACCCTTCCGGATTCATTTTGTTCACGTACTGCTTAAGATTAATAGATTCTAAGACGCGAGAACGTTTCGAAACCGAATTTGGGTCCTCTACCGAAATTCCAACTTTCGATGATTTTTCAAATTTTATACAGCGGCAATGTATTCAATTACAAGCAGATGCGTTAATCTCAAATATAGGTGTGAATGCTCAAGGTTATCAACCTCATAGATCACAAACGGTATCCAAACGTGTTTTAATGTCGATGGA